CACTAATAATCATGATGTACTTAAACAATTAGTGTTAGTGACACTAAGAGTGCAATTACCTTTTTGTGCATAATTACTACAAGTACTTCTTTGCATAATTACTGAAATTGTGATCCAGGTCCAAGGCAATGCATAAAACTGTACTCATAAATATAGTCATAAATCTCAGATACAGAATTGCTTAAACATTATCAATGAATTAATATGTAATGTGACACTGGTAATATACTATACTATGTTACAAAATCATTATTTTGTATTTCGGAAAGTCAGTTTTATTCCAGAGAATTTTCAATCTAGAAGTACTTTTACTTTTCACTTGTAAGACGAGTAATTTGGTACAGAATATTCTTTATTTACAGTAAAAATGGTTATTACAGGAAATAAGTATTCTACGAGGCAAGAAACCAGATGTAATTGAGCTGGAGAAAGAAAGGGAAGAAGCCTGTCAAAGGATACAGGTAAATTCCTTTAACGGGTAAAATACTGCAGTATTGTCACTAGCTTCAGAAAAGTTTTATTTTAGTATCATTTATAGTTTTTTATTAGTATTTTTAATTTTTATATTTTCAGGTTTTTTTGCTGTTTTTATTAGTTTTGTAAATGAATCTTTATTTCAGTTTATTTTAGTACATAGTTAAAATAAAATTAAAATGACACTAGATTTAATTTTTTTAACATTTTATTTTTATATATAATTTATTTAATATTATATTATTTTATAGTTAACATTTATTTTAAGGAAAATGCTTTTTATGGCCTTTTTTCATTATGCTACTTTAATGTTTATGACCTTTAATTCTAATTTAGTTCTATTTCTTTAACGTCATTGTATATTTGTTTGCTCTTGCTTGGTTTTGTTGTTTTTAGCTTTAGTTTTGGTCTTTGTATTGCCATATGATTGTCTCTTGTTTCTTGTACAGCAAACCTGAGGTCTTGAAAGCCTAAAATAACAAAAAATTATTTACTTTTCGTGACTCAAAGGTGGGGTAAGCGATTTCTGGTAGCCAATGTTGACATTTGAAATCACCAAAACAAACACACCCCTACCCCAAAAGGGTCTCGCCCCTATTTTGATAGCTCCGCCTCCGTCCCACACATACGTACAGAACCCAGGGAACGATTAGTTCTGTGAAACAAAGCAAAACTAATGTTACACCGTGTCTACACCGACGTGAGTGGCGCGGTGCGACAAAATACTATAGAACTCATTATAATCAGTGATGCTGTCTACACAATAGATAGATAGATATATATACATATCTATGGTCTACACTGGATGCGGCGCTGCACGACACGACAAATCACCGACAGAAAACTGCTGCTGCGTTCTATTCATGACGTACTGACACTAATTTCAAATGATTTTCAACGGTCGCTTTGTCGTGTCCAGTGTACTAGACAGACTTTAGCTGTTGTAGCGCAGACACAGTGTTACTCACCTATCGAGAAGAAACAAAGCAACCTCGGCCTGCACTGATTGCGTTAACCATGTGTTTTGGTGTAATATTTAATTATGGTGCATTTAGAAGCATCCTGAAGTATCCTTTTTTTCATTTGAATTGTTAAGAAGCAAGAAATGTTGTTTCACTGTAAAATGATGCATGGCTGTTAAAACATGATGGAAAATATAAAGGTAGTTCTTCTCCTTCACTGAAATATGAGAAATAAATCCAATGTTTTCATTTTTTAGCAAAGCTGATATAATTTCAGTCCGTATTGTTATAATAATAACTTATAATAATAATACGTTTTTGAAAAATCGTTTACCCCACCTTTAAGAAGACTTTGTCTTGGCATTAGGATCTGGAAGTGAAGAACTCCGAGTTGGAGAGACGAGTGCGATCAGCAGAGGGCACTTTAGCTTCGTCCCAGGATGCCCGGAGCAGGGCAGAGAGTGCGGTGCAGAAGGTCATCGAAACTTTAGACGTCAAGATCTACGACCTGAGCGACCTGCAACAGAGCCTAGCCAAGCTCCTGGAGAAATGACCACTGCGGTCAGACAAACATTCAGTGTCAAAACCGCCATTATGAGGTAGATGAGATCTCTGGAGTCTTCCAGAATCTGCTGCACAACTCAACGGTTCCTCATGGTACCAGGCAGGTAGTAATAACTAGAGAGGTGATAACTAGCATGACAGTAACTGAATTTAGGACCCATTCATTCCACATTTGCTTCCTGAGAGCCATGGGTGTAACTTACCGGATGTTTCTCGCACACAGAACTAGTCACGAGGAAAATCATAAACAGACTAGAACTTCTTTTAGACCTGTTTATTGGTACTAGATATCAATATAGTTGAAATTGTTGTTAAGATCTGTGATTTGGTTGTGAGCAGTTTTCTAATTAGAATAAGGCTTTGAGCAGACGGTTCTGTAGATATAAGCTACCGTTCAATGTATGTATCAGTATTATTGTACATGACTAGAACCGAAGAATGAAAATATCTCACTCTTTACGGACACCAGCATGTCTCTGTTAGGATGTTAAGCGATTTATTGGCTTACAGATTCTCATAAGTTTGCTTAATGTAGGGCTCTGCAATTGACAACTAGAGAAACAGGGAAATCTAAGCACACAGCACTAATAAGCGTGAATGGTTAACTTGATCTTTTTCATGAATTCATTTATTCATTATTTTCACTGGTCTGGTGCAGTCTAAATATGTAGGTAGTTATAAATCTAATGCAGTTCTGCAAGGATCAACTGTTTCGAGGAGTACTTCAATTTAATTTTTACTGTTAAGATTCCATTAGTTCGAAATAGCACTTCTAAATGCAACAACCCTTTAGGAAAAACACTTCAGACTTTTATAGACCGCTATCATTTGCAATACCTCAGCATGCATCTTTATACCAAGCGTTATAGTATATAGTTCTTTCTCTTTTTAAAAACATGAATTTTCACTTTAACTGTTGCTTTCATTTGACCTTGCTTGAACATTTGCCCTGAAACCTCGAAGACATTTGCACATATGCTATTTTTCTATTGTGTGCCTGTTGTTGCCTGTGGTTTTATATGAATTCCCAATAAAAGTATTTGTTTCATGTGTATATGTCCTTTAATGTAACCATTCTTTCACAACCGTAAAACCCCTTAAGATAGCCTTTATGATACTTTATAAATAACAATACTTGGAAAGTTATTTATTAGGTGAAGTTACATCACATGGAGTGCAAATTAATGAAGCAATAAATTGCTGCACTGATTGCATTAACCATGTGTTTTGGTGTAATATTTAATTATGATAATTATGGTGCATTTAGAAGCATCCTGAAGTATCCTTTTTTTCATTTGAATTGTTAAGAAGCAAGAAATGTTGTTTCACTGTAAAATGATGCATGGCTGTTAAAACATGATGGAAAATATAAAGGTAGTTCTTCTCCTTCACTGAAATATGAGAAATAAATCCAATGTTTTCATTTTTTAGCAAAGCTGATATAATTTCAGTCCGTATTGTTATAATAATAACTTATAATAATAATAATTACTTTGTTTAATTATTAATAATTTGGGAAAATTGAGGTCACTAATTACCTAGTAACCCCAAAATTATTGGTCATGTTCAAAATGTTTGAATATCATTGTATTAAAACGAAATATTAATTGGCATTTGCAAACAAATAACTAGCTACTAATATACCTAGTTATACATGATATACATTTGCATAGCCTAGTTGTATATTTAAAGTTGTGTGATATTTGTTATAAATACTTTTTGGGAAAACTATAAATGACCCAATACTGCCATCTACTGAGCAGTGAACGCTGAAACGCTTACAAATACCAATTTATGCTACAAAAGAGAGCTTGTAAGGACTGTAAATGTCTCAGTTTTACAACACGTTCAGAACAGCCCGGAAAAAAGAGCCTACTGTCATAGAGGCAATGTTATCGCTTTCAAGGTACACACTAAGATTCATGTTAGATCAAAGTAATAGGCCCTACTGTTCTATATGTCCTATATAGCGAGGTCTGAACAGGATTTCTATTTGCGGAACGAGTTTTATACTGTACAAACTGTATTTCTATCCCCTCACCCTAAACCTACCTAATTAAAAAGTAATATATTTAAAATACATTTATTTCATACTAAGTATAGTTCAAATCAACCCGATCTCATGAATGAGCGTATAAATAGTACGCCAAATAAAAACGAAAACTCGTGGTATTGATACGCAAAAATGGACTTTGGCGTGTATATGCTACGCGATGGGTAGTTTTAGGGTTGTGGGGTAGATGCGTATCATATGCACGCCAACAAATTTCGTATTATATGCACGCCAAACACATGCACGCCAAAGTCAATTTTTGCGCATCAATACCACGAGTTTTCGTTTTTATTTGGCGTACTATTTATACGCATTTTCATGAGACCGGGCTCTTCAAATCTATTAACAAATTTACTGACCGATAACTCGAGACTTACTGATATAACATTTTTAATGAAACTTTATTTGGAGTATTACTTGTGCACAATGCACATTTCGTATTAATAAGCCACAAATGTGTTTTAATGTCACATTTGATGAGGATTGTATATGATCTTTAAATAACATCGGCCTTTAAATGCAAAATATTTAAAGTGTACACTTGCAATAGTTCCACTTTAGCACAATCAAATATACTAAGTGTGTCTTTAATTGGACTTCAGCACTACTTCCGCACAATTAAAGTGCATTAAGTACAAAATTAGTTGTTCCAATTTAGCGGACTATAAAGTATGCCACTTTAGTATAATAAAAGTACAACTGCAGGGCATTTTATTAAGTACATAAATATGAAAAGTATACTTAGTATGAAATAAATGTATATCAATTACATTTAAGTATAGGCCTAGGCTATTTATTTTTCACTAGGGTACGTACCCCTCCCACAAAACTTTCTGCATTTTTAGATTTAAAAAAATGTATTCTTTACATGCTGTTTCCTCATGGGGACCAAAAAAATTAAACCACAAGAACCAACTGTATTGGTATTATATCCTTGTTGTGGGGACATTTGGTCCTCTTAATGTAGGGAATCTCAGACACGCACATCTTTCTTAACTAATGTACCACGTAGGTGAAAGTACAAAAACAATCAACTAAACAATTTTTTAGCGATAAAGCAAGGTAAGCTAAATAATGCTTATTTTATGTACAAAAAAACGCAAGCATGTATCACAATGTAAAATAGCACGTTTCACTCGCCATATTGTATATATTCAAACGATGTGGCGGAATGCTTGACATGCGCCCGTCACCAGCCTCATTATGACCCCATACACGTTACGTTCTTCTTGTTCTTTTTACTTTATAAATGCCCTGTTTGCTTCGAGAAGACGGATTCAGAAGTTTCAAGCCATTTTAACCGCACATTTTTTGCTGTTTACAATAAGCTACGAAGATGCTTCGCTCCAGAATCTCAAATTTACCTTTTTTGGATGGAGTGGACGACATGTACACGACCACTAACAAGAGGCACTTTAAATTAGCAGACACCACCGTCGTGCCGAAACAAGACATTATCCTTCAGCCTGTCTCACCAGACTTCCAGCACAGAGACCAGAATTACCTGGGGAAGAAGCACCAGACAGAGACAGCGCTGTCCTTCCCGCCGCGTCCACCAGCTGCTGTCACGCAGCCAAAACTAACCCACCTCACGATGCAGAGAACCAACTTTAAACTGCATTCAGAAGACAGCTGTGGAGACTTTGAGGCCACTCAGTCTGAGCTAAAGCCCCTGCCGATGTGTGCAGCCAAAATCATTCGTCCCATCACTGCAGTCATGACAAGCCTGCCGGAGGGCAAATATCCTGAGCCCACTTATAGGGCTTCCTACATTAAACATAAAGTGTCCCGGACCCTCAGAGCAAAGCAGGCGGCAAAAACAGGTTAGTACTGTACTCTCACACTCTCTATTGGCATTTTGCTTTTTATGAGTTGATATAAGATGATTCGTATCAATCAGGTGTCGGATCAAGTCTAATCATGGACAGAAGGGACAGATACCGTTCCAGTTATCATGAGCAGTTCCAGTACAGATGGTCTCCTCGTCCTTCTCTGTCCGCAGAGAAGGTAAAGTGATCATTTTTGGCAGTGTTTTCAATAAAGTTGCAGTTCAATAACATCTTTTTTGTGTGTTTTATTTTAGCAACAAATTCAGTGTTCATCTGTAGCGATGGGAGATCATGAAAAGACAATGGACAAACAAACAATGTATTCTTCCTCATTCAGACAATCGGCTGGCCACAGGTATGATGCAGCAGAAACACAAAACGTGCACATTTTAATATTGCACCACACCAGAAAGTTCTATAAAGGAACATTTTTTTCCACGTCTGCTTTCCAGTTAGTCACACTCTAAAACATGCTGGGTTAAATATAACCCAGCGCTGGGTTAAAAAGGGACAAATCCAGCTATTGGTATTCCTGACCTTGAAATCCTCACTTTTAAGTAGACTAAAACATCAACCTGCCTTCAGCTTCTGCTTTATATTTATCACACAATGGGAAAATGAACAAATTATGACACATTCATCAATGACTTTAATAACTGTGTTTTTTTTTCTTCTCTTCCCAGGCTCTATTCACCTAGAGCGCAGATGCCCGAATCTCAGCTCTCTGTTCAAAGGAGAGATACTGATGGGCAACCAGGAGAGACTGTCAACAACAAACCAGTGCTTTTTCCCAAAGGTGTGGCCTGTTGCAACTTATTCTGTCTTGAAGATCTAGACAATACAAAGCATGTCTGTCCTAACTGAGATGTTGGCCTTTCAGATAAAGCGCTCACAGTTCTCAGTGCATGTGGATGGAGCCGGTATCAGGACTTTGAGCAATGGTAAATTCGGGAGGCCTGATCTAGATGGAAGGTTTTATAGCACAACAGCACAGGAGCAGTTCCCATCAAAAGAGGCGGTCCATCCCGAGCCTCCGATCTACCCGCCTAGCCATGTGCTGTGTGAGCAAGGTACTTTGAGCTGTGTTTTTACAATGAAAAGTCACCTAAAATGACCTGCCCACATTACACACTTTGTGTGTGAAAAGACTGGTAGTCTGTTACTTTAAAGCACTATTTCTGCTTGATCTGACCCATGAAATTACTTTTGAATATTGTCAGGTTGGTTCAGTCATAATACATTTTTGTTTACTGGAATAAAATGTAAATGTTAATTTAAATGGTACAACATGCAAAGAATTTTTAAGTTGTCTGCAGTGTTTTTTGTTGTTGTTGTTGTTTTGTATCATTGAGATGATAGTTTTGAAAATTATATTATAATATTATATTTTGAATATTTTGAATTAGATTTTATGTTTATAGTTTCTAATAGTAATTTTATGTTTTTGTCATTTTTATTACTTTTGTTGTTTTTAAATGTCTGTATATTTATATATTTTTTATTTTATTTGTCTTAGTTTTTGTTAACTATAATAACCCTATAGTTACCTGACAGAAAAACATTAATTACAATTCATAAAAATAATAAAATATGTTCTAAAAACTAATATAAATGTTTTACATTTATAAATATATAAATATGATATTCTAAATAATATAAATATGTTCTAAAAAATAACAAATTATATCAAATTAAAAATATATAATTGTTTAAAATGTTCTCTGTAATATTTATTACTTTTTTTTGTTTTGTTTTTTTGTTTTTTTAAGAACCAGATCGGATGCTTGCAACCATGCAAAAAGATTTTGTCCCTCTGAACTCTAGAAGACAGAAAATGAGCCCTAGCCAGCTTCAGCAGGTAAACTATTTATATTTCACAGCAGATAAACCCTAGCTCCCTGGTTTCCCATTTATTCTCCAGTCCTTGAGAAGTAAACATAGACACTGGTCTGTGAGCTGTGAGATGGGCCTTGGCTGGTGGTGCCAAAGATCGCTTGAAACCATGTGATAAATAGTAGTTTGCTTAAAAGCAATTTTGCCTGATGCTACTAAATATATATCAACAATTCTCCCATTTTTAGGGGTTGTGCTGTATAATAGTTGTTCAATGACCAATTATTTGCGTTTAAGAGCTCATATAAATTTTAAAGCTAATCTTGACCTCTCTTTCAAGGTTAAAGACAGCCATATCAGGCCCTGGCACAGCGAACATGACTTCAGGACTACCCACACCAAAGCGTTTGTTCCCAAACCCTACTGCAAGGCATCCCTGGAAAAGCCACTTCCTCAACACATCAGCCATATGCCGTTTTGAGTTGAAAATGTCCAAATCACAAAAAAGGTCTCTACTCTAAACAAATGTCATTTTCTGTTTAATGACAAACACCTCATATGCATGAACTAGCTTAAAAAGGACACATACATTTGTTTAGAGTGCAGACCTTTTTTGTTTTTGACTTTATTAAAAAGCATGCATGTTTCAAAGCATTGTGTATATGTGTGTTCTGTCAAATTCATGTCATGTTGGAAGTCCAGAATTTGGCACACAACGTCATTACCTCCATAAAGTGTAAAAAGTTCTTATCAGCATTAAAGAGGCTTTGAGGCATGTTATGACAACAGAACACGTATTACGTACAGATCAAAAGTGTGTGTGGGGAACTTCAAGGTTAAATGGCGATCTGGAGCTCACGGTGGTCATGACTGAGGAGTGTGTCAGAAGGCGACTAACTCACTGATTTCACACAAAACGTATAGGCATTTAAACCAACGCATGTGCAAAATATCATAGGACAGTGCCAGAGGCTTCCCAGTTAAGCGTGCTGCCGTCTGCCAGTGAAGAGCTTCCATGCAGGTCTGTGTTTGTGTGGGGAAAGTGGCATGATCCTGTGCCTGCACCGTATTTAACCAGAGCCTGTGTGTTATCAGACCATGTCGAGGGAATGGTGCCACGTCGAACTCGGATCTCGCTTTCTCACACTCAAAACAAACACAACATCTTAAGTTGCAACCTTGAACTTCAGCTGTTTGATGTTTATACATACACAAGTTCAATATTTCATTTTATTTATTTCATTTATTATCATGCTGTAAATGTGGATGGTGTCCAAATTTGTGATAACGTTTTCAAAAGTGCTTCTACTTTGCACATTTCTAGTTTAAAAAAAAATTAATATATATATATCCTCCTGACTACCAGGAAAAAACAGTTTTGTGAATTTAGTATTTAGTCATGTCATTACATTGTTCAGAGCATAAGAACAATTTTGAAAAATATATATTTTTAAAAATGATATGTTATTCATAATGATATTTTACTCTGTAGAGGACATCGGGACTTTAAAAAGCCCTGTTAAAAAAAAAAAAAAAACATGAATATGAAAAGGCAAAAAGAGTGGGATTTTTTGTTTTAATCAGAAATCAATTTTCATTCTTTTATACCAAACGTTATATAAAGATGATTCTCAACTATGTTATGAAAGATATTTTTAAAAACCATTTTTCTTTATGCAAAATGTGTGTAAAATGGCCATAAACGAGTTTTTCAATTATATACAATGTATCACAGAATGAACAAATAAGTGCAATAATGGGAGTAATAATTAGAAAGATTTTCATAATAATATCTAATATTTAATAGTAATATTGATATATAATTTTTTCTCTATTCATTTGTTGTGTCTCCCAAAATGTGTAATAAAAAGTCCTGGTGTCCTCTACTATAAACTGTATCGAATTTGCATATGAATGTGTTTTTGGGGCAACACAGAATGAACAAATAAGTGCAATAATGGGAGTAATAATTAGCAAGATTTTCATAATAATATCTAATATTTAATAGTAATATTGATATATAATTTTTTCTCTATTCATTTGTTGTGTCTCCCAAAATGTGTAATAAACATGCTTTAAGTCCTGGTGTCCTCTACAGTGGACATGTATGAAACTATCATATGTCATATTTTGATTTGAAACCCCATAACATTTTCCTGAGATGTTGATTTATGACAAACAATTAGTCAATACGTCAGATTTAAATAATTACAAAATATTATCATATTTCCATTAGGGTGTTACATTTGATCACTAAATGAATGTCAGCCATTTTTAAAGACCAAGGAGAGGGCGTGGTCATGGAGAAACAGCCAATCATTTGGTATCTCTGAAAAGCCCTGAAAGTGCTCTGTACAGGACATCCAGATTAAAACTGTGACATGTAACGTCTCAGAGAAATCGCTGAAACATAATATCCTCTACAGAGAACAAAACTCCATAGCTGGTAGTCAGGAGGATATATATATATATCTTTTCTTTTCCACTTTATCCCGGCAGAAATACAACAATAGACAACAGAAAATGTTACATTACATCCAGCAAGAAAAATGTATCTCTGAGTAACACTAGGTTATTGCTTTCCCATAGCTTCAAAAAACGCAAGAAACTGGCCCGTTATTATTGTCTAAATTTAAAACATGCTCAAAGGCATATTTACACCAGCTAGTGGGCGTGGCTACAGCGTAAAAGGGCGTGTCCTGCTTCCTATTGGTGCACAAACGAAAGTGGGCGGTCTCCAAACAACATGTAGCTTTTACGCTGGTGTTGTGACTTTATTCTTGCACGCAGACTGCAGTTTGTGGGTTTTAAAAGTGAAAGTTGCGTTCGTCTTCTTTTTGACCTTGTTTTAATGTCACCTAAGTAATTTAATAACGTTGTATTTTTTATTGAGCGCTGTGCTTGCACCTTGGTATAAGTGAGTTAAAATAGCCTTTAATCGTGATGCACTAGCTGATTATTCATATGACTTGATTCATATATTTTGGGCATCACAGTTATGGCTTTCCAAAGCGTCAAAGTCTTTGCTCTTGAGCTGGACGGTCCGGAGGATGCTGTGTACAGCAGTGGAGAGATGGTCACTGGCGTGGTGATCCTGGAGCTCAACCGGGAAATCAAAGTCCGAGCCCTGAGGGTCCTGGGACGCGGGGTCGCTGCAGCCCACTGGCTGGAAAACCGCAGCGTCGGCGTGAACACCGTCTATAACGACTACACATCCGAGATCACTTACTTCAGGAAGAGACGGCACCTTATCCGAGGTGGGTTTGAACGAATTTATCAACTCGTTATATATTTAAAGCGATGGCTCACTCAAAAAATAAGAAACCGTTTGAGTTTATCTCCCCATTTAGCAATGTATATATTTGTGTGTGTGTGTGTGTCATTCAGTGTTGTGGAAAGTTACTTTTAAAAGTAATGCATTACGGTATTGCGTTACTCCATTAAAAAAGTAACTACGTTACTTGGTTACTTTTTGTGGAAAGTAATGCGTTGCGTTACTTTTGCGTTACTTTTTAAATCTGGACAGGGCTTGCTTGTTTGTTTTTAAAATAAAAAAGTTCTATTTTTGGCAAAATTTTATATTGTTAATTTATTTTCAAAAGTATACAAAAACAAAAAGCCAA